TCTCTCTCTCTCTCTCTCTCTCTCTCTCTCTCTCTCTCTCGCTGTTGCTCTCACTCTTTCTACTTTCACCTCCAGAACTCTTCAGCCTTGTGGCCTCACTGTCTTTCTCCCCTCCCCCAATCCCAGCTCTGTATTAGGTGGATGATCTCGGCTTCTCCAGCTCCTGGAGGCGGCTCCATTCCTGGCCCAGGGCCCAGCTTCTTTCCTGGGGATAAGGACCAGAGCTCTTCCTCTTGGAAGAGGGGCTGGGGAGGAAAAGGGTTGCAAATGCACACTCAGCACCTTGGTTCCTGGAGTCCCCACCATGAGGTGCAGTCCTCTTCTGGGGTCTCCACATGCCTGTTTGGAGCCCTTATTTGGGGATGCGGAACTCTGGAGCCAAGATCCAGCCCTGAACGACTCCGGGGGAGACTGAGGCAGGAGGCTTATCATAGGCACCCCGGAGGGGAGACCCAAGGATGCTGCAGCTGCCCGGTACAGCGGCTGGGAGCAGGTACTAGACCTGGATGCCTGGCAGTGGACTGGGCTCACCTCGGCGCCGCCAGCTGAGTCCTGTGAGGGGCCAGGCACCTAGCAGGGCTCAGCGAACACTCAGAAACCCACGAAGGAGGCTGTGGGCACTGCTCCCTGCACCCTCCTCCAGGCAGCCGGCATTGATCTACTCAGTGTCAGGCGCTCAGGGCACAGAGACACAGAAGGAAACAAGATCGGAGGACAGGAAGCGGACGGCAGTAGCCGTTGCTCAGTGCCGACCATGTGCCAGGCACTCATCACTGCCTCTGTCAGCCAGGTTGGCACCAGTCAACCGTAAAGCCGTCAGCCTTCTTAAGTGGATATTTTTAGCATTATCATCGCTGTCGGCATTATCAGAGGCAGCACGTGTATTTGGGCCGGGGGTCAGACGGCCCAGGTTCAAGGCCCACCTGTGCCACTCGGAGGCTCTGCGACCTTGGGCAGGCCGTTCCACCGGCCCCTTTCTCAGTTTCCCCATGTAAGTACCAGGGGTCATAATCATCCTGAGAATTAAACTGGCTGATCCTTGTACAGGCCTGGTACCTGGTCCTCAAATGCCAGCGATTCTTGAGATCATTTCACATTTGGGTAAATAAACATGGTAGGGGGCCTGCCCTGCCAGGGTTGATGAGGGGGGCGGGAACAGCATTCAACCCGTGCTCCACACAGGCCAGCCACATGCCGCTTGTTTCGTAGGGCTGTTGAGCCCCATTTTCAGATGTGGAAACTGGGGGGCTCGGAGGAGTTCATTGACTTGCCCAGGTCAGCCAGAGAAGGGGAGACTGATGCAGGGTCCCAGCCCAGGGCCGATGGCCTCTCTGCTGAG